TATCAGTGATATTTGATGCAAATCACGAAATCAAAAACAATTCTCTAATGATGTAAGCTGTTATTCAGCAAAAAATATAGAGCATATAATGTAGCATTATAGCGTAAATTTTGAGTCAGTGCCAAAGAAATAATTAATGATTATGCAGACAGTGCATTTTTGGAAAGCTTAAATTTATTATTAGACATTTTATCTTGCATTACAATTTGATATAGTTATAGTGAATTCGAACAATATTTGTTTTCGTATTATGTGCGCGAAGTTAAAGAACTCCTTTATTTTAAAGTTTTACTCCAATGAGACAAAGTGAATGATACCAGCAAACGATGCACATACTAAACGTGAAGCTATAATCAACCAGTTCATCATGGCCTCTCTTCATTATGGCATTTCTGCAAATTCAACGTTCAGCTTATACTAGCGTCTATCTGTTTTGTCGTCAGAGTAATGGTAGACATAGACTTTATGGTAAAGAAAGTTGGAGAGTTTTAAAGGGGTCTCGTTTCTCTCCACTCGGTCAACCCCACTATTCGAATAGGCAGAATTGAATCCTAACATTACCAATAGCTATCAATATTCGTCACGACCGAGCTATTAACACAAAAGTTACACTTAACAATTATGCAAAACCATCGGTTGCCCCTTCCACCATCGGAGGAACAAAATGTCTTAAAAGTACTTTTTCTTTCTATCACCAAACATCCAAATTATCTTATCGAAATCAATGCCTATTAGTGACCAAGAAAATCGGAGTTCTATCAGAGATTTATAACTACAATAGAGCTCTTTCAAACCATGTGATATTTTTCTAACGGATATGATAAGTGCAGCCACTCGATCAACAATATAATGTAAGCTCTATTGTATGTAACTTTTGAGTGAAATTTGCGTTGGCGTCAAGATATTAGCAGCCGTAATAGTTTGATTAACTTTCGTATCGAAAATTGATTAATTTTGTTCGTACTTTATGCCACACAAGAAGATGTCAATTATTTCTACACTCACTTCAATATTAAGTATAGCCATAATATTAGATTTGGTTTATGGAATATTCTAATTCTTATTTCGAATTTCAAAATTCTCATTGTTAAAGAAGATGTTTTAATATTTTAAAAGCGTATTTTTTTTATTGTAAATTACATATTTGTTTAATCGTATTCAGTCTTCAGTCTTCACCTTACTGACAGGTATCAAGGCATTCTTTGTCTTAACATACATAATGTTAAGACAAAGAATGCCTTGACATCTTCTCGTGTGGCATAAAGTACGAACAAAATTAATCAATTTTCGATACGAAAGTTAATCAAACTATTACGGGAGCTAATATCTTGTATGTTAAGACAAAGAATGCCTTGATACCTGTACGCAGTTCTTTTTTCAAAAATAAAATTATTTTTAATTTACAAATTCTAAAATAAGTATTAGACTAAAATTGCAAATATGAGACCTCGATGCATGAAGGGCTCTTTTGAAAAAGAATAAGCACAACAAAATATATTTATTAGTTTTTTTTAACTTGTCTATCAGTTTCTATAGGGCTTTGATGCCTAAGGTGATGTTGCTATACCTACATATAATATAAGTATAGATTACTACTTACTAGATATTCATGATAAACGGCGAACAAGAAACTCCATAAAAATATGAGTGGGCTATCTTATTACCATAATAATTATTATTTAATACTATGATTTCTCTCGTTCTATTGTGTTTGGGTGGCAATACTTCTATAAGCCCTTGGGCGACTCAGATCTCATTAATGGTAATGGCGCCGGCATCCGTAATGTATTGCTCATTTGTTTTTGGTTGCGCGTCCGATGATGCGACCAAAAGCTTCAATGTACGACGAACCATTACGCGCCACGTCTCTGTAAACGAGGCCTTACACATTTATAATATTTTGTCACTTATTATCTTAGTCCCAATCTTTGTTCTTTCCACAACGCTTCCCCTTCCGTGATTCCCCAAAACCACTTGAGTACCTTAATAACACACACACTACTTTGGGTGGCGCCGATTGTCTATCCACTTCTGCTTCTACTTCTACTCGGTTGCGAGCGCATCACATTTTTTTATATGATTGGTCAGCAAACGAGCATACTTATTACCTGATTAGTCAGCAATCAGGGCTGCCCATGGACAAAGGACCGAGAGCAGGAGGAGTTACGAGTGCGTTGCCGACTTATCGGGGATTAGAGATTTGGAGATTTAGGGATTGAGAGAGGGGCAAGATTGGGCGTCCGGTAACCTCAGTCACACTGCAAAATACGACGCAGTGGATGTTTCACGTCGCTTTTTTGTGAGGCCGAGTCGAGCCGACCCATTCATGCCAAAGCATGGCTCTCCCACACTTAAAAAAATAAAAAGAAAACAAAATTAAACTTCATTTAAGTTTTTTCTTCTCCTACTAGCTATAACATTCTAGTCTTGTATACCTACAAGAAGGAAAATCAATCCTAAGCCTACGTTGTAAAGGTACATTTAAGATTGCATTCGTTTAAGATAGATGCTGTTTAACAAGCATGTAGGCTAAATAATTCGTCTGCCCGGTGTCTCGCTTCGTTGGTCAAAACAAATGGGACATATGCTATGTTACTGACTGTATTTGAACTAGGAACACTTCTTCAAATGTCTGATCCCGAAGTTAAGGAGTAAATCTTCAGTAACGCTGTCCGACTTGGTTTTTTTTTAATGGTATAAGTCGGCAAACGTGAAGACAGATTACCTGATGGTCAGCAATCGGCGCCGCCCATGAACATTCGCAACACCAAAAGAGTTACGAGTGTGTTGCCGGCCTTTTGGGGATAAGGTTTACGGATATAAGGATCGGGAAGGGATAGGGGAAGGGGAGGGATTGGGCCTCTGGTAAAGGTGGTGCAGGAAAAGCAACGGGTGGCTATATAGTGGGTACGATATAGTACAATCTGACACTTCCTTACGTCGTACTCAAGATGAGAGTCAAGTCATGTAATGATTTTACAGTCATATAAAACTATTCTAATTAAATAGTAGTCAGTTAAATACTGATTAAATAATAGAAATTATTATTTACTTTTCATTATTAAAGCTCAATAATATTTTTGTTACCGATATACATATTATTGAAACCGAGACACAGGGGCCACCCTTGCCTCTCGGGCCTGCGGTCGGCGAGTAAGGGCAGCTCGCCGCCCGACCAGAACCAGGCCCGAGCGTACGGCGCGTAGCGTTCCGCGCGCGCCTCAAAGAGCCATTCGACCACCACAGATGGGGCCCTAAAGGGCTGATGTTCAGCCGGGGTTGCGGGGTAAGCGCAATGAGGTACCGCGACCTCGGCACAGAGCAGGAGAAGGAACAGGGGGGTTTTTAGTCAGTAAGAGTCTGACACTCCCTCCTGCCCGGCCCTGGGCGGGAGAAGTCATTTGATGATTTTCCCCTCACAAAAAAAAAAAAAAAAAACCCTTGCCTCTAGATATCGACCGAACCTTTAATTGTTAATAAAAATAATTTAATATTACACAATTGCCCGTGTGTCGCGATAACACAACTAGCAAAAAATAATAATTTTAACACTAAAATGATGAGAGTTATAAAACAAAAAAATCTGAAAATATTCATAAAAATAACATTTTATAAAGATTATATTTAATAATAAATAAACTACATTAGGAACTTTTGGTATGTCTCATATTGTTTAGACGCACTGCAGCATGCCCACAATTACTTCCTTACGACGCATGACCTTGGTTCATATCTTGTGCAAGTTAGTTTTTTGTTCCAACAATTTGTTACTCACCTGATAATGTGAGACAAATGCCTTTAAATTGCTTTGTTAGTCAAGAACTCGCAAATTGGGTAGTTTCCTAGGTCAAAAATAAATTGATTCGACGTTTTAATACAATAAAATATTGAAAAATAACTATACTTTTATTCATCGATCGATGGATACACTAAGTTTTAAATATTTTGTAGCTAATTATTAAGAAAATTAAATAAGTAAGCTATTTGACGCAAAAATACTATGACGTCATTATTCAGTTTTTCATACAAACATAGAAAAGTATCGTTTTTGACATTTGGATAAATTGTATTATTGAATTTTGACTAGTTGGAAACTACCGCACTTTGATCGCTGATCAACCGGAAGGCCTTTTAGTCAGTGGATTGTATTAGAAAATGTCTGTTTTTATATGCTTGTTTTTTTGCAATGTCTAGCCAAATTCAAATGAAAATTTGTTCATCCGTTATTTAGCTTTGTTGAGTTCAAATGTGTGCGTAACCGCTCCTCATGTTAATTTGTTTACTTTAAAACAGTTGTAATACAGACCTCGTTAATTAAACCCGAGTTTTATTTCTATGGCACAAATCAAAATCCTGAGTAGTCAATAATCAACCTTGTCTCTTTAAGTCAAGAGTGAATAGGTTACTTCTAGGTAAGCGCGCTCCATCGTCGACCGCATCGTCGCATTCCATCAGGTGAGATAGCGGTCAAGCGCGAACCTATAATCAATAAAAAAAAAATCTTCTTCTTAATCTTCATATACATAAGCGTGGTAGTGATATAAGCAACTGTGTTTTTTTAAAAGAGAGAAAAGGATTTTATTATTATTTTCTCTTGGCACATTTTTTTCTGTAATTGCAAATAGCGATCTCAAATTTAATTATAAAATTATTTGTCAGTTAGATAATTCACATTTTTTTTGGTACCTGGTGTAGGTACCTGATGGTAAGCAATCAGCGCCGCCCATGGACACCCGCAACATCAAAGGAATTGTTGTCGAGTGCGTTGCCGGCCATTTAGGTTTAGGATATTTAAGGACGGCGAAACAAAACGCTGTGGCCGTTTCACGCCGGTTTTCTGTGACGCCGTGGTATCACTCCGGTCGAGTCGACCCATTCGTGTCGAAGCTTGGCACTCCCGCACTTATTTAATGATTAACATTGAAATTAAAGTAAAGCTACCTTCTTAAAGTTCAAGATAGCATGATAAGAATCTAACTCTATTTATTTTTCTTTTACAGATACCTATTTACAACAAGATTATCTCCGAACAAAGCGAAGTACTTCTTCCCATGCTTCGAGAACCCTCGATTTGAAGCAGTATACAAGTTCAAGGTGTACATCGTGAAACAACTTCCAGAATTGCAATATACCAACACGAGTCTTGTTATAGCTGAAGAACAGAGAAGAGATGAGTAAGTAACTATATTATTGTATGCTGGATGTTTTTTTTAGAGAGGATTACCTGATGGTAAGCAATCAGTGCCGCCCATGGACACCCGCAACAATAGAGGAGTAAGGCACGTTGCTGACTTTTTAGGGGAATAGGCGTTTAGAGATTTAGGGATTGGGGGGGGAGGAGTATTGGGCCTCCGATAACCTCACTCACATGGCGAAACACAACGTAAGTGTTGCTTCACTTTGGTTTTATGTGAGGCCGTGGTATCACTCCGGTCGAGCCGACCCATTCGTGCCGAAGCATAGCTCTCCCACACTTAAAAATTTTTCAGGACATTTTATATTTGGAATGTTCAAAAATTGTTCTAATACCTGTATAATATTATTAAATAAATAACAATAATTAAAAACTTCGTATGAGACGACACGTACAATTTAATTCTTATTAGTAAAATTGTTATATCTTCAAATAATAGGTCTTTACCTATGAAATTGCCGTTCTGCAGTACTGGCCATTTCAAATCAAAATAGTTTTTGTTAGGATATGGCTAATTAATTTTGTTTTAAAAACATGGGATTCATTTTCCAAAAGTAGTCATTTGTTTATTGATTAGTGTTACATTTTCATCGCATTTCAAACCAAAAAAATCGTTTAAATTTTTTCATGCAAAACTGAAATTTCATAGAAAGAAAGAAAGAAAGAAAGAAAGAAAAATAATTTATTATCATAGGTAGAGACCTATTATTATATTGCATTAAAAAGTAAGAAAGAATTTAATCTTTACTAAGTACCATTCGGCTTATTCGTTTAGGTTGGAATACGTGACTAAAAAAAAACTAATTAGGTACATTTATAAAGATAGTAAGCCTGCTCTTTGGAGTATATTGAGCCCTTTACTATTTTTGGGTAGCACAATAAGTATTCCTTCTAACGACCTTTGCCCTTGTGTCCAGATGGCATTCCTTAAATATTTATTTTATCTCTTTTCATCCTACATAACAGAACGTGATCTTCACTCATAACAATAGTCCTTATTCGGCATGTGAATGCATACTGTCAACATTTGGCAGTAGGTCCACAACTATCGATAATGAAGCCCTTTTTAGATGCATTTCTGGTTAACTGGTATCTGCACTAGTAGGGATCGTACTTATGAAATCAGTTTCACTGAGACATATAGGGACAAATGGATTTTAAATCATAAAATATCTTTCGATATACCTATATATATTTATTCCGTCCCCTAAAGATGTATCGTATTAATGATATGTCTAGTACTATCCCTAAAATTTAATTGTATCGATCGAGCATAGAAACTGCTAAAAAGAGCAAAGAATACGACACTAGCAAAAAACCTATAACAACTTAATGATTGAAGAATAGTCGTCCAGTTTTCCGAAAGACAACGTTTTCTCTTCACTTCCAACTTGGGTGGTGGTTAATCGGAAATAGAAAATATTTTCAACTTTCCTCTTTTTGTCGGGTGATTGAGCATTTGATCTATAGAAACAGGTCTTACTGCTAGCGTTTAGCGATTTGAATCAGTTCTCAAAGCTTCAAAATATAAAAATAGTACTTAAATAAAATATTTAAGTGATCATTTAAGTGTAAGAGAGCCAATATTAACGCGAATGGGTCATCTTCACCGGACTGATAACATGGTCTCACAAAAAACAAAAAAAGGTGACTGAGGTTACCGGCCCAATCCTCGCTCTCTCCCCATCCTTCATCAATCCTTAAATATCCGAAACGCTATGTCCTATCACACAAAAATATGCTTTAAAAACCTTGTCACTTATACTACATCCATAACGTTATCAAAGGAAGCCTCCGTAAGCGCGGTTCTGCGGATGGCGAGCTAGGCTAGCTCGTCGCCTATCGCGTTCCATGCGTGTCTCAAGCATTTCGGTCCCTATGAAACAAATTCAAAAGCACCCATTTTTTACTATAATATAACCATTTTTTACTATAACTTAATATATATAATTTAACATTTGTCCTTTAAATACGCTTTAAAACATAAATGTAGATGATTTAATCTCATAGCCCGCTTGCAGTGTCGCCTCATCACACGTTAGTCCTTATAAGGAGATCGCTCCAACACAAGCCTCTGAGAATTGTGTCAATTATTGTGGCTTAGACGAGTCGCGTCGTCATGACCGGTTGTCAGTATTGCGCGTGTTGTAAAGGGAATCAATTATATTTATTTTGCGTTTACTAACGTGTAGTGTAGAAACATTAATGCAAAAAAAATAGTTCGTCTGCACACGCTAATTTCCAGAACAACTGAACACATTTGGATGAAACAAATTTTTAAATGTTTAAAGATTAAGTATACAAAGTTAACCAAAAAATCCGTCTATAGTCAGTATTTATTCAACAACAACAAAGCTAGTTTCTTAAAAAAAACAAAGTGTATTGATTGAACTAGGTATTGTACTTTTTTTTTTACTCCTCATTTTAAAGGAACCAGCACTGAAAAACTACCGTTTTTTTTGTACATAAAATATTCATGGACTACACGATATCCCCAATATAATATTAAAGGGTCATCGCGTTCGTCTAGTAATTATTACAAATCAACCTTTGAAGGAAAAGTTCAAATCTAACTTCCGCCTGAGGCTTTCACCGCGTGGTATATTGATAAAGAGCAGCCTATGTGTTAATCCGAGGTATCATTATCTTCATACGAAATACCAACCAAATAGATCCAGCCATTTTTGCGTGAAAATATACCAAACATAATCCATAGATTCTCACAAACTGTCACGTTTATAATATTAGTAGAGTAGAACAACAAATTCAAACATAAAATGTTCAAAGCCAACGTAATTTAAAAGTACTAAGAACTTGGCGGGTGCCAAGTTCTTAGTACATTGACGTTACCTACTCATTCAATAAGAACTGCAGACTTCTAGAATTGAGCTGATATTTATTATTTAACCACATCACCCACGTTTCAATCCAATCAAGTATGCAACTCCAGTGGTTTCATTGCCACACATTAATCGGTTTTAAATGGATATCATAGATGCATCAAGTTTTATCAACGAGCTGTCATAATTTGGCAGTATTATACATTCAACGCAAGTATGAATCACTATTAATATGTACATCCTTAGAAGTTAAGGAAGTCTAGTGCGATTAAGGTTTAGAATTAATGATATTTCTTATCCTGTGCCAATATAAATCTATGTTGACCAAGCTACATATAACAGAAATTATACAAAAAAAAAACTTAACCTCTCACTAGGATTTTCTCCTATATCGTTTTTGGGGCGTTAACAATACATACAATTTCACATAGGTACTAATGATGTTTAGACCCGGAACATCAGTTTGTGGATCACACAAAGAGTTGTTCCGTGTGGAAATTAAACCCGCGAGATGTTACATAAAAGCCGGTTGTCCAATCACCGTAAGCCATTTACAAAGTTATTTTTACATTCGATATATGTAATTTTGGGAAATGTGAATTCTTTAATGTTATTCAAGAATAAATGAAATAGAAATAACTTGAATAGTAATCCAATTTTTTGACTAATAAACCCAATAATCATAATGCAATTACATCACTGTTTTGAGTCGACCTAGACTATTGTGGATACTTCTTTCAATTCTATTATTCATAACAATGTTTTTCAAAATCACTATATCCCTTAAATAGAATATAAAATCTAGTCCAGTGACTGCAAATGTAATTTATGATTACAGTCTCGAATTTCGCAGCTAGTTTTAAAAATAAAGGTTTTTAAAACATTTTTAGGAACTAGTCATACGTTTTTATCAATTTTAGTATACTGCTAGGGTTTTAAATAGTAAATTAATATCGATATTCTATATGATGATTTAATTAATTTACTTTTATTTTTATTTCAGGGTGAAAGGCGACTACATAGTAGTTGACTATATACCATCACCTCAAGTTGGTCTACATCAGGTTGGATTCCATTTCTCCCAGTTTGAGAGTAATCGTGTTCAAGGTCGAATTGTTAACGACACACTTATCCTATGGGCACCCAAAGATGAATTAAGAGACTACCAGTTTATTCACAATTATGGCATAACAATAATTAATCTTATACATGAATATTCAAAGGAAAATCGTCCTTTAGTACAAGGGCCGATTAACTTGATAGCAGTTCCGGCAGACATCAACGGATACGAAATTGGCAGTTGGAATCTTCTTACTAATGGGTGAGTGATGCCAAAGTCTTTTAAAGCAGTTCATAGTTTAAGGCTATTCAGTGGTAAGGGTTCCTGTACATTTTTTCAATTCCAAAATAGTGGAAACCTCTTACAAGAACGTGATTAAAATGTAAGGAAAATAAAACCTCACCTCTTTGTTTGTCTTTCAAAGTTTTTCTGATAATATACATACTATTTTAGACCCTGGTAAATTGCGTAAGAATTTCTTCATAGATTTAATTCAATCAGTTGAATGGGTACCAAAATTTTGAAATCAAAAGTTTGTATAGATATCTAGTGTACTGCGTATACGCTCATAAGGAAATCGCTGATCAAAAGACCATATTTTTAACAAAACATCAACTTCTGGAAAGTTTTCTTAAAGTTAAGAGACTAATTTTGAAGATATCTTGTAGGATATTTTTTATAGCCTAATGTGTGTCGCACTGCTGAGTAAAGGCCTCCCCTTTTTCCTTTCCTTTCAAACTTCTCTGTCTAGAGCGATCTCCGGCCAAGTATGCCCTGCAAACATGATCAGATCGTCACACTACCTTCGCCGTGGTCGACCTCGATGGCGTCGACCTCTATATCCTAGCGGACCTCCTCCTGGAGGTCCTGGATATAGATAAATTAATTTTGAAGATATCCTCTATGATAATCCAATTACCTAAAACCTTTTGATGGTTTTTAGCACAGATCAGTCTACAGATAGTTTAGTCCAGAGGAAATTGGAAAATGACTTCTCATCAACATCAGTCTTACTAAATGGTTTGAAAAGAATAATAATTTTAAGAAAACTAAAATTCGCAAAAACAGAGACTCACAGTACACAGAAATTGCTAAAGTAGGTAGCACTTACGCCAACAGACAGATTCTAATGAAAAAAACCCACGTCAACATTTAAGAGAAATCACGCTTCCTCTACTAAAATCTGCAAAACTTGACCTATATTCTAATCTTAGGAGTTGCGTGTACGCCAAGGTCATCCGATGGATGTGACTGAATAGTATCAGCTGTGATAATAATAAGCCAGTTGTTTTCTTTAATGTATGCATATTATTGATTCCATTTTAATAAAATATTAATATTGTTTGTAATTTTAAAATTTCCGAAAGAATTTTGATGTTTTAAAAGTTTTAACCTATTTATTGTTTAGTTGGAATAAATTGAATGATGTTGACTGCGACAACCTTCGTCATGACGCCAAGAATATTCTAAACTATGGAAAAAATTTCATTTGCTTTGAAAATACATTCTTTTTTTGGATTTAAGTAAGATTATTTAGATAGCATTTCTATAAAATGTTTTTATACGAGATATATTTGAACTGATACGATGATACACTCGACGACATTTTAAAAATATTATGTATGTATTTATACATAGTAACACGGCAGCCAATTCAAAATGTATTTTTTGTCGTCGTGACTCATGATACTCAAAATATAACGACGTGAAGTGAGCTATATAGTGTATACCTATTTCAGCACTTCGTATTTATTCTATTTTTGAATCACAATGAACTTGACTTCAGGAATATAACATTCAAATCACTAGAATTTTAGAAATTATGAAAGTTATGTAGAAAATTAGTATTATAATTATTAAAACATAAATCTTGTACATAAAATATTTAATAAGTACCTATTTATTATTTTAATTCACACTAAAACGAAGACGTTATTGAGAAACCTGACCCTCGTTAGGTTTCTTAATATTAGCAGACGAGTATCTGCTAATATTACTTTTACCAAATTATAATGAACTGTCTAAGATTATGTGAACACCATCGACATACATAAAAGCGTGGTGATTGGTGCTTATGCCTTTATCGTGAAAGGATAGGCCTATGTTCAGCTCTCGATCACTTGAGCTGATGATAATTATACCGACAGCTCAGCATTTCGTCGCTTGTTTGATGATATTTATACCGATATAGTATATTTTCTTTGCTTTACATATTACAGAGAACACCGACTCGCAAAAATAGACCAGTTCACAAGCATTAAGCAGATTGAGTATATGACTTTCGAATTGGCACAGCAGCTTAGCAGGATATGGCTGGGCAACCCTGGAGAACTGGAAAGAACGAGATGGAAAGAAGAGTGGTTCAAAGAAGGAATGGCTACATACTTGGCTTATTATTTCTTGACTCAAGTGAGTAAAAATGGCAAAATTGCTATTTATTCTTTTAAAATCCCAACTAATATTATAAATGCGGAAGTAACTCTGTCTATCTGTCTGTCTGTCTTTTCATCACGCCTAAACTACTGAACCGATTTTATACCGATAAAATCTGCAGGAAGTTACTATTATCGCAAACGGAGTCGCGGGCAAAAGCTAGTACTTAATATTATTATATAGATTCTTTTAACCATTTTTCCGTAAACGAATAACAAACACATATGTTCCGATATTCTCACAAACTTTCACATTTATATTATTAGTACGATTTGTAAGGAAGGTGGAAGTGTCACGAAAATGTCAAAATTAATTTCCACTACTACGGGACTACTTTAATATTTCAAGGACATAATGCTAAAATCAGTTCTGAAATCTGTTCGATTCGTCACTCTGACCTAGAACATTGACCTTGGTTTATATTCAATGTATTATTGTAAGCTAAGTACTCGGCTATAAATATTATGACTAGAATTTCATATCGGCATGCAAAATACTTCAAAAACACTATGTAGAATAGCTATGTTATGGCAGTAATAGGCCAGCTCGACCGGAGGGATACCACGCCCTTTAGAAAACCGGCGTGGAACAATGAAATCGACCAACTATTTCAGGTTGTAATTCAGTTTTAATAATCATATACATCATTATATTTTTTATATCGTCACACCTTTTATTTCCCGTCAGGTATATAGAAATGTTCATTACGTCACGTAATGTCGCATAAATTTGTAGGTACCTGCTTTTATGTTATGAGTCCCATCAAAAGAGAGTGAGCAATTTCAGAAAACCTATAATGGCAATGGGTCGGATGAAACTTTATTATTTGTTTACCAATTCCAGTACAACCATGGTATCATGACACCAGAAAGACGACGTCTAGCCGCCTATGGTCTTCAAATGAAGCACAAAGCTATGACCGTGGACTGGCACCGAACCACACCAGCTTTAGAGACCTTCAATACCTCATTGGCAATAGAGATACCTCCAAGGTATAAGGAGTTGGTGACGATGAAGACTGGTGCGATATTGTGGATGCTTGAAAATTGGGTGGAATCTGATAAATTCCATTATGCGTTGGTGAATTATATTAAATCAAGGTGAGCAGTTAATAATTTACCTCTAGATATAAGGTGGTAAAGCCTGTTAAGGTATCCTCTTAAGCAAAATCATGCGGTTTGAAATTAACAAATATTATTTCTTCTTCTCTTTGTCACAATTTACACTGCATATTATATGAAGTTGTTATGGAGTATTATTCTATTCTGATGTTTTTAAAAGTACCTTTATTTGGGTTAGTTGAAATAAATGTTTTTGACATTGACTTGGCTTTAATTTTAGTATCCTTAATGACATGCCAGTTATCATCAACAGTGAGTCAACATTATTTGATGGGCATAAGTTATTAGAAACGAGCTCTTCTCCCAGTTGCATTTCAAACCATATTTCCTTGGTGGCCACAGTATACTAGGTTCATAGTGATTTATAAATGTTTTCACTATTGCAGCTCCAATAGAAGTGACTTTATCACATTTCTGAAAATATGCTTAATTTTTCTTACCTATATTTCAGGAGAGGAAAATACATATCTCTGCAAGATTTCACCACAACATTAGACCATGATACAATTGAGTGCCTCCACCAGTTCTTCAACGGTTCTACTGCGTCCCGTATCCTGGGTTCATGGTTCAGACGGAGAGGATACCCAGTAATCAACGTTCAAGTATTGAGAGATCGCTCACCGAATGCTGTACAACTAAAACAGGTAAAATAATAATAACTGAATAAAACTGGGTAGCGTCAGAGTCACCGACAAAGCTCTTTAAATTTGCAAGCTGAAGTGGCAATGAGCAGGCTACATCGCTCGAAGGACAGACGGCCGATGGATCAGCAAAGTACTTGAGTGGTGACCCCGGATTAGAAGAAGTAGCTTAGGCAGACTTACTGCTAGATAGACCGACAGCCTTGTCAGAGTCGAGGAGAGCAAATGGATGTGAGTTCGAACTGGAGAACAAAGAGAGCGGCCTATGTCCAGCAGTGGACGTCTTTCGGCTGATGAAGCGTCACAATTAAGTCTTTCGATTTTCATGTTTGTATCTACAGTAGGTTCTGGCTCCCTGGTATCAGGAGTGTATGGGGCATGTTCCAAAAATAACGAACCAAACTTGATGACATATTTTGCACTTTAAAGGCATATACATAGGTTGCTATGTAAATTCAGCTAATGCCATATTTTTGTCTCTTTCTTTCAGAGACAGTTCAGCTTCAACCGCGAAAACCGTGAGGTCACAGACTTCCTAATCCCAATATCATACGTCGTTGAAAATAACCAGAACTGCTACAACTGCTACCGTCCTAGGTTCACTATCGGTGCCCAGACTTACACCTTCGGAGAGATCTTGAATGATGGATGGATAATCCTTAACAGACAAGGATCGGGTACGTTTTTCCTGTGCTTCTCATATTAGATGAAAAATATAAAAGGTATCTTCGAGTATGTTTTTAGAGAAGAAATATTAATTATGTACTAACTCGCTGATCCGGCAAACCTCGTTCTGCCTCAAAATGAACTAATGTTGTCTGATGTTTTGAACCTGCCAGATTCTGCTTCAAACCAACTTGGTGGTAACCAAGAGCTGACGTCACTCCCTTTTTTAATCAACACTCCATCCTTAAGATGAAGTCTTGCCTACTCTTTGGAATAATAAAGTACAAGGAACACTCTAAGAGTAAGAGTAAGAGAGAACGCCCAGTAAGACAATGCTCACAACAACTCTCTACGCAACCGCACAGCACTGCGGCTTTCAGGGGCAGTTTTAGGTACGCTGCTACTAAATGCTGGAACAATATTCCCCCGCCAATAAGAAATAAAAAAACAATTGGTACTTTTAGAACACACCTACGAAAGTTCCTTATTGATTCACAAAAACAACTTGGTATGACGATCTCAAACACGTCCATAATATAGTTATAGCGGGTACCTGATGGTGTTCCATCGCCGTATTCTGATTCATTCGTAGTCAGTATTAGTCACCCTCAATAGTCCATATTGAAACACTACACACACAGAACCTGAAACACTAATCTCAAAAACACAAAACACTGAGCACTGATTACGCCTTTAATGTTCATTGTTCGGCCTGCTCGACGTCCGTGCGTCATTGCAGGGATCCAGCAGAATACCAGCGTCAGGTATATACTTGACACATGCTGAGCTAGACTCCCACTCGGTGCAAACTAAAGACACACTGAACCGCGCCGTATTTTATTATTATTTTTCTCCTTTTTTTCTCGTTCTTTATGTTCTTTCTTTCGTACTAACTACCCGTCTAATACGTAATATTTATTATTATTTTTTTTGTTTGATTCTGTTTTGTGTCATTTTCTTGTTAATTTGTATTGTGTACCCACTTGTTTTTCAATTAATTTGTGTCTTTATTGTTTGTGCTGAATAAATGTGTTATCTATCTATCTATCTAACCTTACCTGGACTTCCACAAATATTTCAAGACCAAATTTAGCCAAGTAGGACCAGAAGTTGTCGAGATTTTTTGACACTAACGAACAGCAATACATTTAAATTTATAAGAAAAGCATAGCATATCATATCGTTTTATCATTCCACACAATAGTGTGGATTTATTATAGGGTTCAGAATACAAAACCCTACTTTAAATATCAACCAAAGTAAGCGAACGATAAACCAAATTAAAAATACAATGAGAAAATAACGCCTCAATATAAAAACAACAAAAAGTTTTTATACGCATTTAAAGTTTATATATGCAAATTAAACTACCCATTTTATGAACTTCAAAAGAAACTATAAAACACCACAAGTTCTAATGATTTAATCTATTGACTAGGGCGACTAAGAATAAAACCGTTGACCTTGACAAATCCTTGGCTTTAGCAATGAATCTAATTCTGTCGTATCCACGATCGTAAAACTACACTGACTTATTCACGGTGCATTTTGTATGCGAAGTAATGCAAATATATTTTATGACGCTGCCATATTTGTTAAACAGGACTTTGTATTAAAAATTCTGTTAATATGTAGTTCCAAGAAACTTGAAGTATTACTGAATAATTCAGAAATAGCGCTTAAGTGTGGGAGAGCCATGCTTCAGCACGAATGGGTCGGCTCGACCGGAGTGATACCACGGCCTCACAGAAAACCGGCGTGAAACAACCACAGCGTTGTATTTCGCCGTGTGAGTGAGGTTACCGGAGGCCCAATCCTTCCCCTTCCCGGACCCTTCCCCAATCCCTAAATCTCCAAATCCCTAATCCCTAAAAGGTCGTAACTCGTCAGTTGCGGGTGTCTATGGGCGGCGTTGATTGCTTACCATCAGGTAATCCGTCTGCTCGTTTGCCTACTTATTACATTTAAAAAAAAAAAAAAAAATTGTTTCATGTAATCAAACGTCTATACTTTTGCTCAAATCATTTGCAATCAAGTTCAAAATCATGAAAATCTTAAAATTAAACCTACTTTAAATTAATATAACTCAACTGTAATATACTGTGTGTGTGTGTGTGTGTGTAGATAATTACAAATTCAAAATTGTAATTGTAAAAATTTACAGGATACTATCGGGTCAACTACGATCCAGTTACTTGGAGACTGATTGCCAAAACCCTGAAGGAAAATATGATGTCAATAGATGAACTAAACAGAGCTCAAGTGAGTAACAGTATATGGGCTTATTTAAGACTTGTTCGTGTTTCATGCCATGTAATGTAGTAATGCCAGCCTGGGATACCAATCGATCAATACCATACAGATCTTCGTACCGCCTTACAAACAATTAGGTCTTTGGCTGTTTACGAAAAACTGTTCAAGGTTGAACAAAGCCTCCGCTAACGTCCGTCTACACAATCATGGTGCTCAATTAAATTTATTTCCAAAAGATAATATGACATTTCCAATGGCATAAATTTGGCGTCTACTGTCAGTGTCGCAATAATTTTAAAACCGAACTTTCATTACGTTATTCTACTTAGCAAAACATTACAACATGACATTTTGTTTTATACTGTTCTTTCAATTATTTCATCAATGTCTCCTGTGTCTCCTTGAACCCTAATGTTAATTGTTTCAAAATTTAATATAAATACTTCTTTATATATTAAATTTCCTTCTATATTTTTCTCTTCTTTCAGATTGTAAACGACGTATTTGCTCTTTATGTGGCCGGTGATTTAGACATGGATCTAGCCATGGAAATTTTGAGTTATCTGGACAAGGAACGTAGTCCTGTAGTTTGGGAGTCAGTGATGTCTGGGTACGATCTGTTAATAATTGAGGGGGCTGCTTGTAATATGACCAGACATTTGTATTGGGAATGGGAGGTAAGAAAGTTTTAAAAGACTTAACATACTATTAAGCTTCTTCTTTACTAGTCACAAAGTCAGGGCTTCATTAACAAGCACTTTGCATCGCAGCGACATTAACTCCTTGGACACATCTGAGTACCTACGTCGTTGCGTGAAGACATTAAAATTTAGTATAATGGTTGTTCCATAAAAACTGTTGACTTTTTTCTCACCATAATTTGTCACAGTGCCTACTCTTTTACGCAGCTCTTTTGTAGCAAGATGCAATTCAGACACAATATAATTATTTGATAAAGATTGAACCGCACCATTCTCTCTTATGAAACTGCGATTTCAGACCTTTTTCTTGGGTCGGAGATTATGTTAAACGCTCCTTTTGTAGAAGATAGTCTTTCAGTGTTTGTTGATGATTCATGAAAATATTTTAAAAATAATAAGGGGTTTTTACTCCTAATTTCAGAGCTTTATGGTCAAAAAGATAACACCAATCTACACGCAGCTAGTGAAGAGCAAGGACAATCAGTACTTGATGAGGCTATTCAGGAGTTCTGTGGTGGAACTGGCTTGTTCACTCAACTATGAACCTTGTCACTATCACGTTAAAGACCTGTATATTGAAGACACAAGACACCAGCACAAGTATGTATATTATTTTGTATTTAATAAAATCATTAACTACAAGCATAGTGTCAAAATTAAGACAAAAAGTTTTTGGTAACATTGAAAAAAATTTTTGATTTAAGCAGTCCAAGTCAAAAAGTCAAAAATCATTTATTTCAATTAGACCCTTACAGACACTTTTGAAAGTCAAACAAAATTTAGAGATATAAAATGTTAGCCTGTCGGTCAGTCCTCTTAGTGAAGCTATTTAGCAGTACTTTTAGAAATTCATGATAAATACTCCCGAGTTTACTGTTTCCCAATTGTACTGAATCCCAATTTTGTTTCTTGCGGTGTGTTTAAAAAATGGCTTTACTTTTGGAGTTTAACGAACGAATGACAGACATTTAGATACTTTTACTTTCAAAGTTAGGTTTTACAGTCAAAAGTTAGGTTATTATAAAACTTATAATTCTCACTTTCTGTTATCATTTTGTATTTTCAGCCTTTTCCCCGACTGTCGGATGTCATACTTCTTCAAAGTTGCAAACGAGACATCGATGAAAACGTTTTTACGCAAACTCAATCAAATCGAGCTGGATGACAAAAATACAGCTGACAAGAAAGTGTAAGTATACAAACATGATAATTATTTTTACATAATTTTGAGTGAGATTTTTTTTTTCTTTCAAATTAAACGTTGCCCTACATTAGGATATTCTCCTATGTCGTGGGTGCGGTTACAAACACACAATTTCACATACACATGACACCCAGACCCGGAACAACATTTTTGTAGGTCACACAAAGAGTTGTTCCGTGCGGGAATCGAACCCGCGACACGTTGCACGGCAGCCAGTTGCCCAGCCACCGCACCAACCGTGCATTCAAATCATATCATATTGGAACCATATCATCGATAACGTTTTTGTATAATATTACACACAGTTTTTTTCTTCATTTTTTCATTAACTGCACGATTGTCGCTGTAACGCAAGGGTTCGATTCCCACATGGTAAAACTCTATGTGTAACTCATAAATGGCTGTTTCTGGGTATCATGTATTATGGGAAATCGTATGTTTGTGAATTCACCCACAACGCAGATGAAAATCCTAGTGTTGTCTCACAGTATCTGAATGTAAGTCAGTTTCTGAATGTCCAGTCCTTTCCTATCTCCTATCCCTAATCCGTAATATTTTTGTTGTTGCAAAAAAGTCCGCAACGCTATTGCAAATTTTTGAGGTTATTCATCAGGTGATCATAACTCGTTTGCCGTGCTATTATACATATGTTTCAATTAATTTTAATTAAAATAACTAGGATAATTAGTTAATAAAGGAGTGTTATTAATGCAAAATGATCTAATACGAACTTGTCTACACGTTTTTGTTTCAGACGCGAGAGGAATAGATTTTTCGCCAAAACTCCAATCGGGGAGCCGAGACCAATGCCCATAGCAATGTCTACTACTACAGAAAAGGTATTATTATATACAATTTATGACATCGTTTATGATTTAGATCGTGTTTACCCAAAGATTAATGTGCCCGTTTCTCATGGATAAGGGTGTATGTCGAAACCAGGAAAGTATCAATGTGTCTTTTTGCGAGGTATATGTACTTTCTATAATTACTAAGACACTTCTGATACGGTGAACAAAAACATCGTGAGGAAACCTGGACTTATTGCCAATTCGTCTTGAGCAAACGTGGCGTTAGTAAATTAGCAAGTCAATATGTTCAAGATATTACATTGATGGATTGATGAAAACATTTTAATGCACTGAAAAGTCGATTTTTTTTTCATTTTTAAAATGTACTGTTTAATAATAAAGCCCTTTTATTCCGAACCACATTGAAAAAACAAAACAATACAGTATTTAATAATTTATAGTATGTCACGCAATTAGGCGTGCCCTTTTGGCATAGGCCTCCTCCAGCTCCCTTCATTGAGCTCGATCCTCCGCGACTCTGGTCCAAAATGGTCCCAGGGTTATCCGAATATCGTCACTCCATCTGCTCTTTGGACGCCCTGGTTTTCTGGTGTTTTCTCTAGGATACCAAAGAGTCACCTGTTGGCTCCACTTGTTTAAATTGCAGCGCAACATGTGTCCTGTCCAGCTCCATTTTAGATCCTCTATTCGAGATATTATATCCGTAACTTTTGTCTCAAAATGTACTGTAATGTAATACAATGAATATAACGATTAATTTATTTCACAGGCCATTGAAACTGTCACGGGGAAGTTGCAAACGGTTGGAGGTTCATCATGTGTGAAGTATTCGTTGTATGTTATAGTTATGGCAATGTTAATTAATTTATTCACACGATAACTCTTTGCTGGAGTCTGTGTTCCCTGGGTGCAAGGCCCGAGTGAATAGGTTGCATAGTAGGCTCCATCGTAGGTCGCATCATTGCTTGCCATCAGGCGTGATAGCGACCAAATGCCTTGTCATTACGAAAAAAAAAAATAATAATAATATGATTAACACACCAGCCACCGTCTCTTTTATAAAATCACAGTGAACTTGTTAATTTTTTAGTTATTTATTTTAGTAAGAAAAGTAGGATTATTTTTTATAATAATTTTACAATAAGATTATTTGTACTCTCTACAGCAGTTTCATCTATTGGTTTTAATTTTTTTTAATACTTTAAATTTTTTAAATATTTTCCTAAAAAAACTATCAAAAGTAAAAGTAAAAAGTACGTGTATTATAATATGTATTTCACTTTAACCTTTTTCACACACAACACATTCCTTCTAGTTTTGTATTATGAAAAGATAAAATATATTTACACTGCAATGGTTATTTATTGTCTAATATTAAACACCATAATTCTAGTCATAATTGTTATTAGGAAGTTTAAATTTAACATTTTCATTCTTATATTAATTAAGCTTTCTGAAATAATATTTGCAACGTGTACATACTACAATATATTTAATTGTATTTTAGAATTTTAATATTTAATAGTGAATTTTAATTCAAATAAACTTTCAATTTATTTATATAAATAAAATTAAGGATATTTAAATAACTGGATTTTAACTCACAATAAAATATGTTTTCTATGTTTTGGCGTTCTTGTTTTATTTATAAACAGTCTATTGTAGTATTTTTAGTCAAGCCGCAAGTTTACTTAATTTAAGATCCTTACTCACAAAAGCCGTTTATTTGTTGAGGGGAAAAGCATCATCAACCAAATTACTTCTACCCTCCAGGGTGAGGCGAGAGCGAGTGTCAGACTCTTACTGACCAAAAACTCCCCCAGTCCCTTTTCCTGCTCTAGGATAAGGCCGCGGTGCCTTATTGCACTTGCCCTAAAACCCCACCAATTTAAACTCTTCGATGTGTGATGTACAAAGTGTCCATTAGATTGCTTTCCATCAAGTGATCCGTGTGCTCGTTTGCCGAACTATCTATTAATCTATAGTAATATTATAAAGAGGTATTGTAAGTTTGTATGTAGGGGGTAATCTTTGGAACCGCTAGTCGGATTTCCAAATCGGATTTCTTACACTGATAGATAAGTAGCTACAATGTTGGCTATAAGGCTATAAAACATCACGCTATGATTAAATGGAGCCGAGCAGTGGGTGAAACCGCGCAAGAGTAGCTAGTATACGATAAAATAACACAGATGGATTTCGGGTGAAGCGCAATATTAGTACCCAGGCTTGGCCTGGAGCGGAAGGAACGAGTTTAGTCAGTAAAAGTTTGACACTTCTCTCCTTTGGTTATTTATGGTTTAGCACTGCTTCAAATTACGTAGGTATTAAATTGTTAAGAAAAAATAAAATAAAATAATAGATAATTTTATGTTATTTTTTTAAGAACATATGTTACAGTTTTATTTTTAAAATTACAATGTATCTATAATGCTAAAGCTACAGAGTGTGTTTGTTTGAATGCGCTAATCTTCGGAAGTACTAGATTAAATTGCACTATACTTTTGGATTTGTTAGTCCATTTTTTGAGGCGAGAGGCTATAAAACATCACGCTATGACCTGCAGGGGCCGAGCAGTGAGGAAACCGCGTGAAAGTAGGTAGTATAATATAATATCCTTAATTTTATCCGTTATTACATTATTTTAGTTGTGTAATGACATAGTTGCGACATTCTTTAATAAATTCGTATTCGTAAATTCGACTGTACTGGGTTGTCTAATTGGAGTAACACAACACGTACATATACAGGGTCCGGTAAAGAATGGATAAACTTGAAATAACCTTTAAGTATATCTTATGGCCATTAAAAAAATATACAAAAAAAATAAGAATTTTTTTTATTTTATTATATATTTTTTATTATAGACAAATCGTGCAGAATTTTTTTTTAAAATAATGTTTAATCATCATGGTTATGCAGTAATGTAATGAACGCAAATGTTAAAGGTTCATTTTGTATTACCACTAGCCCCAGTTCTTTTACTTCCAGACATAATAATTTAGGTACTACCTATGAAACTTTCCTTTTCGTTGTTTTTCTGAATGGCCAAAGGATATACTAAAAGGCATTTCAAGGTTATCCATTCTTTACCGGACATCCTGTATAAAAGATAAAGTTAATATTAGAGGGAAAAACCACGTATTACATCAACCTACATATCTTAGAACAATATCTTGTACCACATGCAGACCACATCATTAATCACAAGTTAATAAATTTCAATTAAATAAATTACCTATCTAAAAAGAAGTTAATTTGGCGTCTCTATAGATATTTTTGTATCTATCACTGGAACGACTTTTATAAAAGCCGATACATATTTGCAAATTTAAATATACTGAACTAGACATTAATGTTAACTAATGAGCATAGCCGCCATGATAGGTATACAGAGAGATATTAGTGACGAAACTAGCTTGGACGTGTGGTTTTCAGCCGGTTCGGCATGATCGACAGGGTCAACAGGATCTACAGGGTCGACAGGATCAACGGGATCTACAGGGTCAACTGGATCGACGGGATCGACAGGGTCCACAGGGTCGATAGGATCTACAGGGTCTACAGGATCCACGGGGTCTACGGGATCTACAGGATCTACAGGGTCGACTGGATCTACAGGGTCTACAGGGTCGACGGGATCAACAGGGTCTATGGGATCTACAGGGTCGACGGGATCGACGGGATCTACAGGGTCGACTGGATCGACGGGATCGACAGGGTCCACAGGGTCGATAGGATCTACAGGGTCTACAGGATCCACGGGGTCTACGGGATCTACAGGATCTACAGGGTCGACTGGATCTACAGGGTCTACAGGGTCGACGGGATCAACAGGGTCTACAGGATCTACAGGGTCGATGGGATCGAGGGGATCTACAGGGTCGACTGGATCGACAGGATCAACGGGATCGACAGGGTCAACTGGATCGACGGGATCTACAGGGTCGACTGGATCGACGGGATCGACAGGATCAACGGGATCTATAGGGTCAAGTGGATCGACAGGGTCCACAGGGTCGATAGGATCTACAGGGTCTACAGGATCCACGGGGTCTACGGGATCTACAGGATCTACAGGGTCGACTGGATCTACAGGGTCTACAGGGTCGACGGGATCGACAGGGTCGACGGGATCGACTGGATCAACGGGATCTACAGGGTCGACGGGATCGACAGGATCAACGGGATCTACAGGGTCGACTGGATCTACGGGATCGATAGGATCAACGGGATCTACAGGGTCAACTGGATCGACGGGATCGACAGGATCAACGGGATCTACAGGGTCGACTGGATCGACAGGATCAACGGGATCTACAGGGTCGACTGGATCTACGGGATCGATAGGATCAACGGGATCTACAGGGTCAACTGGATCGACGGGATCGACAGGTTCCACGGGGTCGATAGGATCTACAGGGTCTACAGGATCCACGGGGTCCACAGGATCTATAGGATCTACAGGGTCAACTGGATCTACAGGGTCGACGGGATCGACAGGGTCTACAGGATCTACAGGGTCAACTGGATCGATGGGATCTACAGGGTCGACTGGATCGACGGGATCGACAGGATCAACAGGATCTACAGGGTCAACTGGATCGACAGGATCAACGGGATCTACAGGATCTACAGGATCTACAGGGTCAACTGGATCGATGGGATCTACAGGGTCGACTGGATCGACGGGATCGACAGGATCAACAGGATCTACAGGGTCAACTGGATCGACGGGGTCTACAGGGTCGACTGGATCGACAGGATCTACAGGATCAACGGGATCTACAGGGTCGACAGGATCGACAGGGTCAACGGGATCTACAGGGTCGACTGGATCTACTGGATCAACGGGATCTACAGGGTCGACTGGATCGACAGGATCAACGGGATCGATAGGGTCCACGGGGTCGACGGGATCGACAGGATCAACGGGATCTACAGGGTCGACTGGATCAACGGGATCGACAGGATCTAAAGGGTCAACTGGATCGACTGGATCTACAGGGTCGACTGGATCGACAGGATCGACAGGGTCAACTGGATCGACGGGATCGACAGGGTCGACTGGATCGATAGGATCGACAGGGTCGACTGGATCGACATAATCCTCAGGATCGACGTGAGAAATGGATTCATACACGTAATCTATATTTTGCTCTCCCCACTGTAGGTTCTCATGCACATATGCAACTGCACGCTCAGCAGCCATTTGTGAGTTACCCAGACCATTGTCCGGACTGTTCACCCAGATTCCAAACTGCGGACAAAGTTATTAGTTATTAAGAAAGCACCAATAGTCCACAAATACCTTAGCAAGACAAATAAGCCTCCTAGGTTTTTATAAACATAAGACATTACGATTGTGCAATACGAATAGCAAGAGTGAAAAACTATAAAAATTATTGCCATCATATATATTATAATTTTCTGTTAACTTTTCCACTTACTTGTCTAGTTAAATCACTGTCCGCCATATTTTCCGCGAGAACGAATATTGACTGTTCCAGATTGTTTACACCATACCTGAATAACAAATAATTAAATGTTTATCAAAGCTCCTTTTGAAGAAGATTATAATTATACATATGTCAAAGATATACGTACATATTTCTGATATCATTGACCCTTAATTTCATGAAATTAAGAGCTAGATGTGCATTCGTGTAACTACTTTCTGCTACCGCAGCGAAAATCTTCACTCTTTCTTCTACAACGTAAGGACTATTTGCTGCTATAGTTTGCATCAGTAGCCTGAAATGTTATTTTGCTATTAGGATGCGTGTAAAAATATATATTTTGAGAACGTAAGCTATTATACTAGCGATACAAAGAGTTTATACAACGAACTCCGTTGTTAAATATTTACGCACCCATTAATGAAATCAGGATCATTCGAACATCCTAGAGACTCCAAAATGACGACCCTCTCGTAATGGGTCGGTTCGATTTCCAGCCTGTTGTATAACGCTTGTATGACCTCTTCGCCTCCTTCCCTTACCATAGTACAGTATATTGCTGGTCTGATATCGTATGGAATGTTAGGGTTTCTAAAATAAAATTATAGTAAGTTAGTCAGTTATTATTACAGTTATAGTTAGTTTTTTCTTCTCTGTTATGCCAATGACTTGAAAGTTTCATTTTTTGTCGCCTATACTTCCAAACATCGACTCATGTACCAACTTTTATTTAGATCCGATTTGTACTCTTTGCACTCATTTTTCTTACAAATTATATTAAGTATATTTTATTATATTTAGAGTTATTTTAACCTGATTACATCGTTTGTTATCGTCATAATTTTTAATTTTATCAATTATAAAATTTATGTGATGTCATTTCTTTTTTCATGGCATATGTCGTATCAGAAAAGATAAAATTATTTGATCACCGTTAAATAGCATTAGCAGATATTGGACAGAACCCTCACGAATGTTACACTTCGAATTTCTAACGAGAACTGTTTAAAGTGTGTAAAATCTACTTTTTTGACAGTCTATGTTTTCAGAAGAGTATAACGCTAACACGTATAACTTCAAGAATCGAGAGAAATGGCACCATTTTCGACCACATTATCGCTAACGGCAATGCGAGTCGGAAAACAACGCTGAAAAGTATGAACACGCTGATTTAATAAGTATAATATCTACATATCTCTTAAAATACTTACACTACTTCGTTATTGTTAGGGTCATAGAACCAGTCGACCGCTGCAGCGATACAAGGTCGGTACCCAGCTCTACAAGCGTGGTCCATTACCAGACTTCGAGTCAGCGAGGTCATCAATGGCTCTCTTTTAGACATATCGGGATAAAATGTGATTTGTCTTTCGAACGCTGATATTGTACTACGTATCATTCTCTGCAACGAAAACAAAAATAGGTTTCTTATCTTTATTGTAATTCTTCCGATATGTCCACATTGGTCAATTTGTTTTAAAAACGGACAGTTTTGTTGGTTATTTTTCTTTATTCGTGTACGGTACCAGGAATGTATACCTACATCTACACTAGTGATTACTGTAGCCTGAGTAAATCTATAGCACTAGAAATAAGTTATCTATCGCACTAGAAATAAGTTAAGTTAAGAAGCATGTCAGATATTGTTTTATAATTTCGGGGAAAATAATAAAGCAATATTTTTTTGGGGAATCCTGAACTTGTTGGTATCTTGTGAGAGGACCTTATTTCTTCGGTCGAATTGACTTCTTAACACAAAACTAAACTGAACTTTATTTGAAAATCGAAATAATAATATCATTTTTCACTCTTACCAAATAAATATCTCTATCCAAATCTTCATCGCCAAAAACATAAGCTTCTAATCGTTTCCTCAAGTAATTCATATTTCTGACAAAAGCCTTCCACACGGCATATTCAGTTTCATGTTCCATGGATAAAACTATTCTAAGTGCTGTTTCATAACCAATATGTCCGGCTCTGGCCAAGTTAAGAGCATCATCGACAAGCTATAAGAAATAATAAGGGTGACCACTTTGTCAAAAAATATTTCCATTAGTATGTTTACTATAGTATGTATAAATAACTGCATAATATTACACTTATTATTATTTTTTTCATGATGAGTATAAGATTTACTATTCTTCTAAACAAAGAACTTTTTGAGAAAACCGAGAACAATATCTATCGCAGAAAATATTGTGAACTGCCAAATGTATACAAAAGGTACAAATAAAAAGTTTTGTATGACTTTAAAAGACCAATAAGCAATGATGTTATTATAACGCGAAAACATGTAAATAAATTATAACGTCATACTCACTGTAGCACGATTCAGGGGATGGATTTCTATCCTCCTCTCAGGGTCTTCGAGGGCTTTAATGATCCTTTCCCAAAGCACAGTATCATAGTTTACACGATAATATCCTACAACAATATAAAAAATATTAAACAAAAAAAACTTAATTGGAAAAGTTAATGGGATCACAAGTAGAATCACGGTTTTTGTTACATTGCTCAAAATATGACTTGTTATTCCGAGGTAGTGTGTGTGCAAAAACGTCCAAATTTAGGTCGAAATTACAAGAGACATTCAGCGAGGTGTAACCAAGATGTTTTCTCTCTCGCTATCTCTATCATTATCATCATCATAATTATCGTCAATCCCTCCACTGCTGGACATAGGCCTCTCCAATTGCACGCTACTGAGCTCAATATTCAGGTCTTCTCATCCAACCACTGCCAGCCTACGGGTATCGTCAGTCTACCTAGCTGGAGGGCACCTTACACTACGTTTGCGTAGTCCTGGTCTCCACTCTCAAACACGTCTACCGCAATGATCATCGCTTCTTCAAGAAATGTGACTTGCCCACTGCCTCTGTAGTGTTTTTTAATAGGTATATATAAAAATATGTCGACGTCGAGCGTATAAAATAATTTAAAATAGCCGAACGGATTAGAACGTTGCAGAATATACATCATGAAGTATTGATGGCTAATGAGGTAAATACATTTTTTCCATACTGATCATGGCACCGGCAAAATGAACAGACGATCTGACAAAAATTGCACACAATCGGTGGATGCCTATGCTTATATTAAGCAGTAGACATTTTATGAAATTGTAACTAACTATTAATTGTAATATTTAATTGTATAATGATCATATAAAACTAATTTTCTCACCTTGCCCTTGAATATTGAAGAGGATCCAATCTTCCTCCCCTAAGAATAAGTTTAAGTTTTGATTACCATCTACAATAAGTTGTGGATGAATGTCCTCGAAGTTCTTTTCAACGCTCGTAGTGTAGGTTACTGGTAGGATATAGTTACTGGGCTCTTTATGAGTGAAACCGAATGGTATCTGCAAGGCAAATATATTAACTTTTAGGTGATTTGACCTGCCCGCTCAACATTAAGACATCAAATTTTTGATATGTTTTTTACCTGTACCAGCCAAACTCTACCAGTTATAAAAATCACTCTTAAAACTGGATACCCGGCGTTTTCTACCCATGGTTTTAAGTAGGCACCAAAGTTATTAATTACGCCATTATTATTTCCCACTAATTCACTGTTTATTCCGTCAACGAAAGTCAATGTATTCACAGTTCCTAGAGCTCTGTAATAAAATCAATATTATTTTATGATGATAACTATGCAATATGTAAGGGGATAAACTTCAGTTAGTTGTTTCGTTAAAGCGTCATATGAATGAAGTTATTGCTCATATCACTTCACACTTACCGCATTTTAAGGAGAGATCTTGCAGCTATTTGGATGAAATCTTTATTGGCATCACCGAGCACAAGCCTGGTCATTCTCATGATCGCAGCGCTCTTTAACTTGATGAGCCCATTTATATGGTCCCGTATGGCATCTTCGTCAAAAAGATTGTCTACGGGTTCCAAAGGATTTGAGTTGATGTAGGCATCACGCAGCAAACTTTCTTGTATGATTTCAGTTACAAATAATGTATTGACGTCGAGGAAATTGATATCAGTGGCAATATGGTCACGATGGTACTGTAACAAATAACAGCATTGTTTTTGAGACATTTTGAATTACTAGTTGATTTGAATAATTGAAAAAAATATTCTTCATCTGGACGGTATGATCATATCGTGTAATGAACTGATGTACCAATCACCAAACTATTTTGTTTGATTTATTATCACAGTCTTATACCTACTTACTTAACTGTTGTTGAAAAAAAAAACGCAATGCTATTGAAAAATTGGTCATTCCCCTTTTTTGTGATCCCTTCGGTTTATTTTTCCTAGAAGGAAGAACTTTTAGCAAATAAAAGATTTGGATTTATTTTGAATACCTATAGATATTCAAGAAAAGCTTATTGATGGGAATTGCAAATACGATAATGTCATTTCATAATGGATGATTTCTTACTTTAAAAAAATGCATTTCTTTCAACCGATTTCCTTAATTGTTCGTATTGATATTAAAGTTATGGTTTTGAGTATCGGTAACTAATTTATTGAAAAAACGAGTTAATCAATCACTTTTTTATTTTATTTAGGCTTTTGCACATACATCTGTGTACAAGGTGGACTTGCCATGAACCATGATCAAATTTAGAATAAAAAATATGATTATAAGGTTGTTGGTGCAATTTTAGGCAGGTTAAACGAGTACGCAGAAATAAATAACTTATTATCGCTATTAATTATAAGTTTTAACAATGTTTCTAATCTACAATCTACTAATATCTACAAAAATATTTTTAACTTTAAAATTTATGCTCAAAAATTTTATGAACATACTTCATTTTATCAAATCTTTAACCACTATGTTACACTTACTTCTCTCATCATTTCATACGCCGAATATGTGGTGAATCCTGCGACGACCCATTCGTACCTCCAGTTCTCCGGGTAGATTACATATCCGAACCACTGCCTTGCCATAGCCTCCGCTATTTTTCTCAGGGCCACGACCCTCTGTTTAACTGCATGGGCTTGTTCCATGAATACGTACGGCTCCCTGTAATATTAAGTGACAGTCGAAATGTATAACAAAAACGAAATCAAAAATGTTGTTGGTGTTGCTTAACAATAATATGAACCAATTGATATAACTCAAACTCTTACCAAATACCGACTGTAGAAAGCGAGTTCCAATCTGTGGATACGTCAGGTAACACTATTATGTTCATTCGGCCATTTTGATCGCTTACCACTTCAAAGTAAGGCTTTTGAGTCCATTCATTCAAATGATTGAAATAAAAGTTTATAGCTATGGAGGCTTGTGAAACTTGGTTAAATAGACCACGTCTTGAAAATAGCATAACGTTGGCAGTCGGTGTGTTGATATTTACAAAATTGTGAGCAACCATGCCCCAAAGGTGGGGTGGACCACTCAACGGACGGAAGTCGGTTCTGCAATAAATTAATTTAATAGAAGCATTTTATAGTTTAATATAATAGTATAATAGAAGCATTTATATATAGTTTAATAGAAGTTATATAGTTTAATAGAAGCATTTTTAGCATTAAGTAACTTAAGTATTTTCTTCGAACAATTTGAAAAAGTGTTAAAATTTATCACAAAAAAACAGCGGAAAAATGTCATAATTGCGGGTGATTATAACATAGATGCTCTCAAATGCAATAATATATTTTTACAGTTAGAATGTCTGCTTCTGAATTTTAATCTTAAACTAGAATTCAAGCAACCTACACGTAGTAAAAGTGGAAGTTGCATTGACAACTTTGCTCACAATATTAAAAAATGTAGATCAGAAATTATTGAATTCAATTTATCTGATCATACGTCACAACTTCTAAAAATCCCAATAGATACAAAACTTACACTAGATTATTGGTATATACGTAGACGCGATTACAATACAGAAAATATGGAAAAGTTTAAAAACCATCTTAATAATATCACATTCTCTGAAGTGTATAATACTAATGATGCTAATGAAGCATTTAGTTCATTTAAAACCACTTTTATGCTACTGTATAATTTATGTTTCCCACATAGACGTATAAAAATTAGAGTAAAAAGAAAGCCTACATGGCTATCCCGGGGAATAAAAACATGTAGTAAAAATAAACGACAACTACAATGGAATTACAGAACAAATCCTAATGAACAAAATAAAACTAAATTTAAAACATATAGCAAAAAATTAAGAAATATTATTAAACTTACACAGAGGGCACAGAACAATTACAATATAAAATCATCAACCAACAAAATAAAAACAACTTGGGCCGTTATAAATAAATCAAAAACCAACGCACTTAATAAGAATGGTATCCCATCCGTACTTATAGATAACCGTAAAGTAACAAACCCACAACTAATCACAGAAGCTTTCAACAACTACTTCGTTGATAAAATAAAACCCATTCAGGGTTTAAATAATTGTGCCAATTCAAATTCAAATATAGATAAGTGTGATAAATCTATTTTTTTAGCGCCAAGTTCACCCTATGACATTGTGAATATAATAAAATCTCTCAAAAACACAAGTAGCGTAGGTCATGACGAAATATCTACAAAGATACTTAAATATGTTGCATATACAATCTGTGAACATATTAGTCACATTTTAAATTTATGTATAATCACGGGTACTTACCCAGACGACTTAAAAGTATCTGTTGTTAAACCTCTGTTTAAGAAGGACAATAGGGAGTTATTGGAATGTTATAGACCAATTGCATTATTATCTGTATTCTCTAAAATATTTGAAAAATATTTAAACGATAAAATCTACATATTTTTAGAAAAACACCACATTTTGGCTTCAGAGCAAAAAGGTTTCCGCAAAAACAAAACCATAAATATGGCAATTCATAATTTCATTAAATATGTCATAAAAAATGTGGATAATAAAAAACCTGTCTGCGCCATATACTGCGACATGACACAAGCCTTTGACTACGTCAATCATGATATCCTTCTCAGTAAATTGGAAAGTTACGGAATAAGAGGAAACATATTAAAACTTATGGAGTCATATTTAAAGAATAGAAAGCAGTACACTGAAATAAACAGGATAAATTTAAATACTAAAAAGGAAGAAACGTTTAAATCACATACACGTTTAACTAAATTCGGTGTGCCACAAGGAAGCGTCTTAGGACCGCTCCTTTTTATCATATATATCAATGACCTGCCCAAAGTCACAAAACACCCAATGACACTATTCGCTGATGATAGCACTGTGGTCATTGAGTCAAACAATAAGAATATGAGTTTATATGAAAATGACATAAATGAAACTATCACCTTGAGAATAAATTGGATGACTAACAATAACTTAAAAATAAATTTAGAAAAAACAAAAATTATGTGGTTCAGACAACGCAAAGCAACTCCCCAATTAAAAATTAACTATAAAGGTACACCATTGAGTACTATTGAGAAAACAAAATTCCTAGGCGTTATCATTGATAAAAATATCAACTGGAAGGCTCATACAGAAGAACTTAATTAGAAACTGAGTTCCTCGTCGTATGCTTTATGGAAATTATCATACATCGTAAATGCGGATGCACTAATTACAGCATACCACGGCATTGTAGACTCTGTCTTAAGGTTTGGCATCTTATTCTGGGGTAACTCCACTAATAAGGAAATATTATTTAAAGCCCAAAAAAGGTGTGTCAGGTCCATGTTTGGACTAGATACAATGGATAGTTGTCGGCCATACTTTATTAAATATCATATTTTAACCTTACCATCATTATTTATCTATGAAACTGCAATCTTTGTTAAAACTAATTCAAACTTATTTAGTCATCTCTCGGGTGTAGTTAGTCGCAATCGAAGAGATAATAATAAACTATGTATAGTTCGGTCAAATACAGCATTAATGCACAATAGCATTTTATGTTTGGCACCAGTAATTTATAACAAAGTACCAAAAGAAATAAAGACTTTAAATATAAAACATTTTAAAGTGCACCTAAAAAAATATTTGATTGAGAGGTGCTACTATAATTTGACAGAATTTCTAACAGATTCCTAACATTATGACATTTTTATCCATCTGTTATTCAATTTGTTCCTTTAGGTTTTTTCTTTGTGTTTATCTTTGTAATGCCATGTAAAAATCATTATATTAATTTTAATTAAGTTAATACATTTGTACGCTGTTAGCCACAGCAAAACATGAAGGTTATTGTACTCCTTTTAACATCCTACATTACAACATATAAATATGTATCTTGTTCTGTATACTCGTGTTTTACATAAAAAGCATATAAATTCTGTGGAATTATGGAAAGGTACTTACTGGCTATTTTGTACCAGCATAGAGTTAGATATCAGATGAGTGTAGTGCAGGCCTTTGAATGAGAAGGAGATTATTGATTCTTCTGTCGGCTCGTCCATACACGGGAACACGCGTCTCGCGTACGTCGGATGTAAATTCATTGCCACGTAGGTACTGGAAAAGGAATTGCAATAGTTGGTTATAATGATATTATATTTTCTGCTAGTGGAGTTTAGTTTTTCAGTCAAAGTCTATGTATAAAACCGAAGAAAATTCGTCGAAGACTAAAAAGTAATTAGAATGGGAAAAAACATAATCTCTAAGCAGCAAAAACTATTTTGCAAAGGTTAGCACCTACAATAGGCTAGTAACGCACTCATAAGTCCTTTAGTATTGCTGGTTGTCAGAGCAGCGTCAATTGCTTGCCATCAAGTGATTCATCATCATCAGCCTATAAGTGCCCGCTGCTGAGCAGAAGCCTCTTCTCGTACGGAGAAGGTTCGAGCATTAATCACCACGCTTGTTCAATGCGGGTTGGCGATTTCAAAATTATAATTAGAAATTACAAGTCCAGGTTTCCCCACGATGTTTGCCTTCACCGTATGTCAGTGGTGTCTAAAAAATCATATAACTCGGAAAAATTTAATACTTTTTCCGAGTTATATGTACATATAACTCGGAAAAAGTCACATTGGTACTTGTCAGGTTTCGAACCCACACCCTCATGCATGAGAAGCGGGGTCCTTAACCTCCGGGCCACCACGACCTCGTGATCGTGAGCCACCAAGTGATTAGTCTGCTCGCTATCCGAGCTACATATCCCAAAAAAAAATTACTTTTGGTGGCTTCCTCCCAAATAAAGGCCATGTCCTGTGTTTGATAACTGTCCAGTGTACTCTATAATAATAGAATATAAACTCGCTGCTGGTGTAATTGGATGGATTTCAAGTGTTCTTCTATTATATGAGAAGACGGCTTCATTGATGTTTGAGCCACCTAGAACTCCTGCTTTTACAGAATTTATATTTAAATCCTCAGCATGCAGGATGATTGAATCTTCTCTAGTTGCTGGTGATAACATAACATCTAGTACAGCTTGTCCTTTGAATGAGTTTCCATCGACTGTTATTTCTACTGCATACGAACGTACTGTTTGGCCAGGTCTATTATTTCTGATTAAAGTACTTTGACTTGCGTTCACAGCCACATTTTTAGTGCCATCCAAGTTATCACCATTATTTTCAAATAAGTCTTCAGCCAGTTTTGCAGTGTAGTCAGTTCTAACATTTTCTAATTCTATGTCAGAATTTAAAAAAGTCGATTTTTTATTAGCAGGCAATGATTCTGTTAAATCATTCAATAAGATTATATAACTAAACAATATACACTTCCACTTTAACTTGGACCAAAACATATTGATGGAGTTTAAATGGTCCTTCACTTAACTTCCAAAACGTCTGTGTGATAATACAACATGTGCCTTTATGAACGCCAAAAAAATAATCGTGTAATATAATTATTATTTTAAGAGATACGAAATATTTTTGATTGCGTCACAAATAGATTTTTTCAGATAAAATATTGGAGATAAGGTTTATAGTTTTAACTTGTTTTTTTATGGTCCCGTAGTAGACCGGCAACAACAAAATTTATACAATACCGCCTGATGATGAAGTAGTCTATAAAATTTGCCGTGTGAGTCAACCCCAACAATATTAATTGTATAATTTTTTTTGGGAGTCCGTCGATGGAGTCTGGATGATGTACAATAAAGTGAAAATAGATTAATGCAAGTACGTACATCCACATCAATGATGATTTTTACCGTAATTTTTGAATTTTCTTTTCTTATTTATTTATTTTATCATATTCATACCGGTTTTGAGAACCTATAATGGTATCATAGTCATCAGCCTAAAAGTGTCCACTGCCGAGCAAAGGCCTCATCTCACACAGAAAAGGTTTGAGCATTAATCACCACGCGTGCTCAAGGCGGATTGGCGATTTCAAACTTTAAATAGAAATTATGAGGCCAGGTTTCCTCACAATGTTTCCTTCACCGTGTTCAGTGGTATCTAAATGATCATAGAAAGTAAATATAACTCGGAAATAGTCACATTGGTACTTGCCAGGTGTCGAACCCGCACCCTTATGCATGAGAAGCGAGCGCTTAATCTCCGGGCCACAACGTCGTATCACCGAACTATGGTGCCTATGGATGAATGAATATCTTTGTCGTACACTTTGAAGAAATTTGTAATATAGGAACATAGGTATGTATAAAAATACATACAGGCAAACTAGTGTATAAAGGTGGTCTTATCGCTAGAAGCGATATCTAACAGGCAACCTATGAATGGATAGAGCAGGGCTGTAGATGTATTTGAGAGGTAGTCCAGGTTTACCAAGACTTATGTATATACAAGTCAATTCATTCATACGGATGATACCGGATGCCGGATTAGCAACGATAAAATAATACACATGTTATAGTTCTTTCAAAAATGCTTTGAAGATAACGCGTGATCAATAATCAAACAGCTGCAACCGTAGAAGATCTGTCATTGGATCTGCTTGCTTCTGTAAATGGACGGACATAAGATTTGATGTAAAATGGGGTTGCAGGATTAGGAAGTTCAGCTGGGTTTGCGAGCTAAGTGCAATGAGGCACCGCGGCCTTAGCCTAAAGCAGGAAAAGGAACGGGGTTTTTAGTCAGAAAGTTTTGAGTCTGACATTCTCTCTTGCCTTACCCTGGGCGGGAGAAGGCAATTGATGATTTTCCCCTGACAAAAAAGCAGGTAAAATGGGGTTGCAGGATGAAAAAGTACTTTCTATCAAGTAGAGATAAGATGTAAAAATAAAATAATAAAAACATCCGCAATCGTTACACTTACATATTTAAAGCCGGGTACACACTTGCTAATGAATACAAACATGAAAATTGTGTACACACAAACGCAGATCCCATTCAGTTCTCCCACAACTGCTGCAAATTCTTTAAAGTAGCCATTTTTTTATTTGTAGCTATTATTTTAAAAACACAAACTGCTTTCAAAAGGTTGTATTAAAAAAACAAAATATACTAGCTTTTGCTCGCGACGTTGTTTGTTCGCGTGGAACAGTGACTTTCTGCAGATTTTTGGTTTAAAAACTATCCTATGTCCTTTCTCGAGTTCCAAATTTCACACAAATAGGTTAGGCGTGGAGAAAAGACAGACAGACAGACTGAGTTACTTTCGCATTTATAATTTTAGTTTGGATTAATTTAGAAATTGATTTAGTTCTTCCTTTGTGTCTAGCAAAATTTTATACTTATATTTAATAGGCCCATACGGAACACACTGACAGGATCACTGCAAATGATAAAACTGTGATACACACGTGGAAATCTACAGATTGGGTAAAATGCAACGCAACAACAACTTTATTCGCACGTGCGTGCCCAGCTTTACGGAGCATATTTAAAATACTACGTCACTACCTGACGCTGGCAGTCAGAAGAAGGAATGGTAGTTCCCCGATCATATCAATTCTGCGTTGATTATTTTTTAACTGTTTGTAAGATAATGCATTCGTAAAGATAATATTATCGATAGTAATCAATGTATTTTGCACAGTAGTTACACCACATTACACATAATGTATGATAAAATATCAGGTTAAAAAACCGGTTAATAGCGTATAGGGCTATGCTCAGTGTAGGGGTCCGTAGCTTCCCGTCTGTGACAATAAGTATCCCCACTTAAGAGTTATTGTAAATCTTAAAACAGCAATTCAGCGTAAGTAGCAAAATTACAGCGCCATCTCTTAGCGAATTATGTTACTAATTAAGTAGTACAAACTAGACAGGTTGGTAATTTTGGATTCTGTAAACCAATTTAAATAATTTTTTCTTTTTTATTTGAAAGAAGATATTTTCAAAACAGTAAAATATATAAACAAAGTCAATAAAATGCTTGCATATACGGTTAAATGACAAAATTAGTGCATTCTTTCAAAAACAGTTCAACCTAACGTGTTAAAAGTAATTTTCCTTAAATCAATGTATGATGATCTACTTTTATTTCTTTTCCCGTATTTTCTAACCATATGATTCGAAATTAAACCTTAAGGTAAAGTTAGAGGGGACGACGAATGACGGACGACGGAACGCCTTTTGCAGCGATTATTTCAGAAAATATTAACATTATCAAAAAAGATCTTAAGCAACCCCTATTCATTTTTAAATACCTATCCAAAAATATATTACTTACACGTTAGGGTAGAAATTAAAGAAATTAAAAAAATATCACTCCCTACTTTTAGTGTCAGGGTGTACCGCCCATCCTAAACTTTCAAATACCCAAATCCCCTGATTCTCAAATCTTTAACCCCCAAAAGAGCGGAGACGCTTTCGGCTTGTAATTTGTGTGCTCATACGCCACCTATTCAATAAAATAACTGAATTGCTCTATCGTAATTGTTGTTACGTAAAGTCGCCATTTATTCAGATAGTAAATATATGTAATGAATAGTTGTAATAGGAAAAATTACTTTCAGCAATTCACAAGGATTTAAAGTATTTATTATTATTATTAAATATTTAAAAAACGTAAAGCAACACTAACTTTCAGTTTTATCGCGCGAGGGAGGTAACCAGAGGCCAAATACTCCACCCCCATCCTCAATCCTCAAATCCCCTATCCTTAAAACCCTCATAACCCAATCTGCTCGTCTAACTCCCATTCCACAAAAAAAAATACAATTAATACTTTACCTGTTTTGAAAAAATATGACGCATTGTAATAATAGCAAATCCTCAATATAAAATTTTGTACACAGTTCATGATATCGTTATCACTTGAAAGTGTGGTAAAATTAAGAATTTGCAATATAGTCGGGTTTATCAAAAACGTGCAATTAAAATATATACCTATAAAAAAATTTACGTACTTTACGTTCCTTAAATTAAAAGACAAACTGTTGATTGAAGAATTATAAATCCGTAGCTTGTCTCTTTGGAGGTTCGGTATTTTAGGATTCAGGATCATCAGGGAATAGGCGAGGGTAGGATTGGTCTTTCGGTAACCTCACTCACAACGCAAACATAAACAATATTTACGCTGATTCAAACATTTATTTAGGCAGTTATCATAACATCGGTCCCTAATTCGCGTTTTCATGATGTATGGTAAGTGTGGGAGAGCCATGCTTCGGCACGAATGGGTCGGCTCGACCGGAGTGATACCACGGCAACACAGAAAACCAGCACGAAACAACCAAAGCGTTGTATTTCGCCGTGTGAGAGAGGTTACATGAGCCCAATTCTTTCCCTCGGTCAGCAACGCACTCGTAACTGCTCTAGTCTTGCGACTGTCAACGCGTTATAACAAATAACGTTATAACTAAGTCTCAGGCGAAATACAACAATTAAATGAAAGAAATTTTAAATTTTGTAATAAGAAAACTGTGTAGACAAGCATACTACACACTGAATGATTATATTGTACATAAAGATGCTTGGAGACATGCTGGTCCTGCTCCACAGGATAGTAAACCTACACCAAAATAAATAATGTTCCAGTGGATTTGGCTTGAACGGGACTTCTAAAATTTAGTGACATTGCATTATATTGTTAGACTTGATAAATTTGTAAATGTGAGTGCCCTATTACAATTGGTAAGACTAGCAGAATGTCGGTCCTTATAGCAGCTTGGAGTTATCATGCTCACTGAAAGGTCAAACTGGCGGTGGCGCGGTCGCTGGATCGTTCATTTCCCTATAATATTTGATGCTGATGTACGTGTCATGTTCTTGAACGAGCGCCGTCAGTTGTAACTGGTCAGCTCCGGACTGTCTATTTTCCCTAAGGTTATTTTCTTTTTATACTTCTCTGAATAAATATTAGTGTTACACTGTTCTCACATAATTCAACCAACTGTTTAACTGTGTAATGGAGTTCCTTGCTCGTTCTTCTCCATCGGAATCTAAACTTTAGAACGAGCAAATATCTTCACTGGACTAACCGAAAGACTGACACTTTATCTTCAAAATTTTGTTTGACGTTCAAAAGTGTCTGTAAGGGTCTAATTGGAATAAATGATTAATGACTTTTTTCCATGGGTGGCGCTGAATGCTTACCAGTGGGTAATCGGTATGGTCGTTTGACGAACTATCACATAAAAATATATATTTATAAAAAAAAATATAACATAAATTTTTGTTACGTCAGATAAACAATGGGACAAATTACCATAACTATTTAAACCAATTAAACCATTTATTTAATGACTACAAACGACTTGTTGGAAACTTGGCCAGTAAAAAAAGGATCATGTAATTTAATAAAACAAAAAAAACTTCAGATGCCAACTGTTTATTACAATTCATACAACTATAATCATTTATTACATACAGACAGTCCACGACTGCAACAAATCCCGTCATAAGACAGCGCCGTTAGTCAATATTAAGTTTAGTAATAAGAATGTTAGTGTCAACATCAGACTCATCAAAGGCTGTTTAATTTAAAATTAACTATTAAGTGTCGCTATTATAACAGATAAAAAG